AAAAAAATCAGAGTTCAATATTTCTTTGTGATACTTAACTATTTTGAGAATGGATGTTATTATTCAACTTTCTATTACTGTAAAAGAATATCTGAGACAAATCAACTTGAAAAGGATAAAATGTCTATGTCTATTCATTGTTTTGGATGCTTTAGATCATTACTGATCAGTCCTGTTTCTTCAGACCCCTTGGAAGCACAGTACATTTTTGGCAGGAGCATGGAGTGGCAGAGGAAGCCCCGTAATCTCATAGCCAGGAAATATAAAAAAGGACAAGACCAGGGTAGGCGTTGGTGGCTCATGCCTCTAATCCTAGCTGTTCAGGAGGCTGAGATATTAGGATCACGGTTCAAAGCCAGGTCAGGCAGGAAACTCCCTGAGACTCTTATCTCCAATGAACCATCAGAAAACCAGAAGTGGTGCTGTGGCTCAAGTGGTAGAGTACTCGCCTTGAGCTGAAGGATAGCTACCCAGGCTCAGAGTTCAAGCCTCATGACTGACAAAAAAAAAAAAAAGGACAAGACCAAAGTTAAGTTCCACAATTCCCTTTGGAGGCATAACTCCAATAATCCAAAACATCCAACTAGGCCTCACCTGCTAGTTTTCACTTCCCAATAGCACCACAGTGGGGATTAATTCTTAACATATGGGCTTTTGGAGGACATTTAAGATACAAACTGCAACAGATGCCAAGGAAACAACTGTATGAACACACATTCCCAGTTAGTGTCATCAGGTAAACTATTACTCGGTAACCACTTGAGAACTTCCTTGTGCAAATCTCTACTGCTGTAAGCCTCAATGATCTCTTCTGTAAACAGGGTCCCTGAGAAGATTAAATAGAGCAACTTAGGTGAAGCACTTAAGTATAATATTTGGCAGATAAAAGTGTTGTCATTTTCTAAATGCTGTATTCAACTGTAATGATGGACCTAGAAAACGAAAATGAAATCAACAGCTCAAAGTTTACATTAAAACTATCCAAGAAAACCACAAGTAAAAGTGAATGCAGTATCTGGAAAGACAAATGCTTATTCAAACACATGGCTACCTTCTTGAATACCCAGAATGAGACAAGAGTATTTGGGCAAACACACTGCCTATGATGATTATAATACAAATCGCTCCTAATGCCCTGCACGATTTTCTATTGCTGTGCAACAAACTAGGCGTACTCAATAAATCAGAACGATATAACTTTGTCTGTTTCACAGCACAATTTGACAGTCTGTTTAGGGTTTCACCAGGCAGAAAACAATGGTAAGTAGAATCGTGGGCTCTTGGTTCTCAAAGGATCCTATGATATCCAGGTAGCAGAAAGCCAGTTCCTTGCAGTTGTATAATTGAAGTTCTTATTTCTTATAGCTGCTAGGTGGGGATTACTCTTAACTCTTGTCTGAGTATTTCTTTGCTAACTTTCCTACAGATATGTTTTTCTTCCAGGTACCTCAAAACTTCTGGAACATTGACTCCCTCTGGTGCTTCTAAAATCTCTTTCCTGTCTCTCACCTGTGGACCAAGATTTAAGGGGCACATAGATGGATGATTATTTTAAGGTCAATACATCTACCATAAGGTCCTGTCCACCATATTACTAAAGCAAATTCAATCATAGGACTGAGCTGTCCTTCTCAGTGGTTCTGCTGTTTAACATTTTCCCTTTTAGACATTTCTCTATACTCCGTTAATATTTGAGTGACAAGTGTTGAGCATCTGAAAGGCCAACAGACATGCCCTTTAGACGAGTGACATAATGTTGCTCATGTGCTTAGGAAAACTCTGAATGATGTGTAAGTATGGGTCTTTCACCTCTGACTGTGTCCCAACATGTCTATAATCACTGGATCAAGGCAAGGATTTGTCAGCAGATTATTCAACCCCAAATTGTTACTTTCTCTAAAATTTGATAAAGTATGAGTTTGACTAATGTCCTGGTGATGTCAGTTTAGGCTAATCCTGGCTTGATGCGGTTCTTGAACACATGCTTCCATGAAATACACTTTAGGAGCAATACACTTTAGGCTGCCAAATCAACATGGTTTGTTCAGGAAGTCTCTACTTCATAGGGGTTGAGAATAAAAGGGAGTAAATGTCAAAAGCTAAATTGAGAGTGGAAGTGGATTATGAATCAAGGATAATATACTCAACCTCAAAGGCTATGATTAACAGCTATTTCCTCAACTGTCCTGAGCCAGGTGAAACTGCAGAACTTGTGACATGGGCTGCCAGCAATATCTGCCTCAGGAGTTGGTCAAAGATAAAGGAGATCTCTCATTCCACACACAACACTACCAACATCCTCAAGGGTCAAACTTTAATACATATTTAGTTCCTTTAATACATACATACTTGTGACCAGTTAACTGACAAGACTTCAGACTAGTCAACAGAATACTTAATACAAACAAAAGATGGTGTGATGTTCCTGACTATCTTGAAATGTCAGTTTGTATTCATGGCATAAAGACTGAGCTAATAGATACATTGGGTACTAGTAGAAAAAAATCAGCATTTACATGCTCTTCATATTTAGATTTTCAAGTCTCAAGGAAAAGTGGAATTTAAAGCATTTATTTTTACTTTTTCTCTGTTCTCCTAATTATGAGCCAGCCTTTAGACTCAGATTTCCATGATGTAAAAGGATCATAAAGTCCATAAATCATAATTATGCTGTTCTTACATAGCTAAGTAACAAATCCATTGATTGCTGTGCCTGTTTATTGTTTGCTGTTAACCTACCAAAAGGGAAGATGAGGGAACTGTAAGTGTACTCCCTGCAGTGTGGTGGGAGATGTCTCTTTTCTCTGGGAGCCACTGTCAGGATCAGAGATTCAGTGGAAATTCTGGTGAATTTCACAGTGAAATTTCTGGCTGAGCATGGATAAGAATGAAATTTGGAATATTCTTCAAAAGACTGAAACCAAAACAAAACCTCAAGTCCAAGTTCTGACCTTTTTTTGAATCTACTGTGTAAAAACATTTTATGTGTGAACAAACAACAAATCAACGGTTCTCTTTATTGCAGCTGTCTACATTTGAATCCACAAACCCTCCAATGTATGCCTGTTTTTGTTTACTCCTTTGGTCAAGCTAAGACCCTAACCTTAGGCTTATGTGTTTTTAGTTTAATCTAAGAAAAAAATTTTTTTTGGTCAGTCGTGGGGCTTGAACTCAAGAGTAAAAAAATTGTTACTCTAATTGTTACCAAGTGGAATAATGTATCTTGTAAAAGAACTTTTCTTTGTGAGCATTTTAGGGGATAAATGACCATGTGTGACATGCTTTAGCAGGTCCGTCATCCAACCACAAACTTCTACATTTACTAACATCAAACTAAAGTGTATATTTCACATAAGCACCTAATTGCCTACTTTTTAAGTTGCTTGCAATGTCTTGTCTCAGTTGTACACTTATAGCACCACTCCCAATATGAACCATTGTGAGAGTCTTGGCTTATTCAACTTTGGTACCTCTACATATACCCCAAATCAGAGAGTCTGGCATGGCAGCCAAGGCACAAGCCCTCTTCTCTGGAGGGTCTGTATTCCTCCCCAAGGCAATTACATAAAAGGGCCCTTTAGACACCACACCCTGGTATACTTCTGTAGGAAGACTTGGACATGAACAGGACTGGATGCCAAAGATATGCACTTGAATGGGTACCCAGAAAGAGGCACAAGAAGACAGGGAAAGAGGGTGTGTGTGCTTTATGGGTCTGATTGGGCCTGGGGACTGATATGGTCCACAGGCCGTCCAAAAATCTCAAATCAATAGGTCTTTCATAGAGACACTTTATTAACACCAACACAATTAGCCCCATGCATTAACTTTCAGTAGGAGCCCCTCTCTAGGAAGAGCTCTGCTTTATCTTTTTCTTCAATAAATTTTGCCATTTTGTTCATGGTCTCATTTTTGGACACTGATGAGACAAATTAATCCAAGTGTTTCAGTTTTTCAGTGTCAGTAACAGCCTTCATGGTACTGGCTACTAAACATTTCATTAAATACTATGACTGGCAGTTTAACAGAAAGAAGTACCTTTGTTTTTCAGAAAAAAAAAATCTAAACATGCTTTTACATAGAAACTACAGTATTTCAGAGCAAAACACCAACAGCAAGCACAACTTCTCATAGAAATGAATAAATATTGAGCCCTTATCCCCAAAGCATCTCCATTCCATCACAAGAACATTTGTGATGGTTGTGGAAAAAGAATCAAAGGCTTTCATCTTACTAAAAGCTTTGAAATTATCTCAACCATTTTGGTATTTAAGTCTTGTATGTTGATACCTATGAATGTTTCAAAATGTTAATTCATGTCTTCTTGGAACCATACTACCCTTCTCAAAGACTAGAATAACTAGACGTGCTAACTCCATCTCTGACTTACGTAATGAGCCCGATAAAAATCACTTTAACTGTTTTAAGGTTTACCCATTAAATAATAAATCAGACTAGCTCTGCAGCTCTCATGAGGTGAAGAATTTAAAAATGCCTTGAAAGAACCAGGGTGCTGGTGATTTTTGTCTCCAATGCTAGATACTCTGGAGGCTGAGATACTGAGGATTGCAGTTTGAAGCCAGCCTGGCCAGAAAAGTCCATGAGAATCCATCTTCCAAAACATAGTAAAAAGCAGGCTGACGGCATGGCTAAAATGGTAGAGCCAATAAGGAAACCGAGTAATGGGCCCTGAGTTCAAATCTCTGTACTCCCGAAAAAATGGGAACTATATTAAAACAACTTATTTCTACTGGTTTATAAGTTCTTCCATTTTGATATCTTTAAAAAATAATTTTGATATATTTGAGTATAAATGAAATTATATCTTTCTTCTTCTGATGAAGTACAGAACTATTTTCTTCTCTAAATGATTTAATGGTTTTCATGTAATCGGAGGAAAAAAAAATACACTCATAATATCCGAAGAGTGACAAACAATTGTTTTCACTGTCTGTTTAGTCTTGTCAGTATCCACAATAGTGACCAAACATCCATGTCCATGTGTTTATCCAAAATATCCATAAATCCCATGCTTGATCTGTGTGTCATGAAGTCAAGGACACATGATGACAAAGTCACTGGTGTTACCTTCAAGCAACGCGAAAGGCCTTTCCTTTTGGGTCTACCAGGATAACTACACCCCAACAGGCAATGCCTAGGAACAAACAAGAAAGAATACCTTACTTAGATGTTGCCATTGAGTTTAGCATGTGCATAATGTCATCTTATTTAACCATTACTACAGTTTGTAAGCCTGTATTATCATTGTATCTTTCCTATAGGACAGTACAACTCAGAAAGAAAAGGAAAAGGAGAGAGGGGAGAAGGAAAAGATAAAAACATCTGAAAGCCTAAAACTTCACTCAGACACTATGTATGAAAAATTGAAAGCACAGTATTTTACTGGAAGACACCAAGGACCATCTCATCCCCTGGTACAAGTGGAACTCACATCTAAAATTTACAGTTTTTTTTAAGGTGGTACCGGGGTTTGAACTCAGGCCCTCATGCTGGAGGCACTCTACCACTTGAGCAATGCTCCCATCCCTTATTTTTGTCTTGACCCTGACCTTCCTCTGTTCAGATCAAAATAACTGAGATTGTTTTCTAACTTTCACGATTTTTTATTTTTTACACTGGCTGGGCTGGAACTGCAATTCACGAATCTCACAATTTCAAACTATTGAGTAGTTGGAATATAGCAATGTACCACCATGCCTAGCCTCAATTTTTGTAAGTCAAAGACAATCGCTCTTTCTCCAAGAGAGGTGGAGAAGCACTCTTCGCTTTGGGGCCAAATCAACATGGGATCAAAAGCTATCACTTCCTGTTTGATCCTCTTCTCTTTTACTTTTCGTTCATATTGGCTTCCATAAGCGTTCTCAGGAAATGTTAATTTTTTTTATCTTTTAATAAGTTTTTTTGATTGTGAAAATACTGTACAGAGGGGTGACAGATGGATGAGCAAGGTAATGAGTACATTTCTTATCCAGCATTGTTGCTCCTCCTTTGTTTCCCCTTCCCATCCCTACCCTCCCACCTCCACTACACTCCCCCTTGCCCTGCCAAAACTGTATCTCTTGTACATCTCATTGTTGCATCCCTATTTAAACCACTTGTTTTTTCCCTTCACAACTCCCGCCTGCCTTCCACGCCCAGCCAGCCAGCCCCAAACAGGGCTGAGGGGTTCCCACCGCGTGGCAGGCCCCAGAGCACCGAGGGGGGGGGTCTCTGACACACTCCGGTGAGCTCTACTTCCCTGCACTACCCCACCCAAGCGGCGGTGCCCAGCTCTCACTGATGCCGATGACCATCTGCATAACGGGCCCGGGGCCCGGGGCCAGCCCCATCTTCATGGGCCTCCGCGCCAACAGGTACACGTAGGAGCCCGCCGCCAACAGCCCGGACCCGGAGATCAAGCGACAGCTCCAGCAGGTATTAAATAAAGTAGCTGCCGCGGGAGGGGTCGGTGCTTCGGCCGAATCTGCGGGCACCGGGTTGGCAGGGGTAGGAGGGTCCGGAGACTGGGACGAAGAAGTTGAAGACCCCATATTGCGGACGCGGCCCAGCGCTCAGCGCCTAGGCTTTGAAATGACGTAAGCAGGGCGACAGGAAAGCAGAGCATCCGGCGCACGGAGCCGGAAGAGGCGCAGGTTCTTCTGGGAAATGTAGTTTTGTCTTTCTTGAGCTTCCCCTGCCTGAGGCATGAGAATCAAGAGGTTAACGTTTATCTCTTCTGAATTATATTCTAGATATTTTGCTTATCACGTACATGAGTTCTGCAACGCAACAGTTTTACTAATATAAGAGAAAATGTTTAGATGCCATAACCATACTTGAAAGCTATGCCTGGTGGATAAAGAGGCGAAGTACTCAGACTCTATACCTGGACATATTTTGAAATACACAGATCAAGCAATTACAAACGAGTCTGGATTATTGGGATAAATACTTTCATTTTCTCTTGCTTTGTTTCTTTTTTCTTTTTTTTTTTCTGTTCGTTCATGGGCCTGAATTCTGGGCCTGGGCTTCTACTCAAGACTAGCACTCTACCACTTGAACCACAGCACCAGTTCCAGCTTTTTCTGTTTATGTGGTGCTGAAGAATCGAACCCAGGACTCCATGCATGCAAGGCAAACACTGTACCACTGAGCCACCTTCCCAGACCCTTGCCTTGTTTCTTAAAGACATGTTCCAGTTTTGTCATATTCATTATTATTGCTTTTTGCTTGAGAACTCTGAGAAAATTCAATGCAAAAATCATATTATAGTGAATTTAATGTTATAAGATACAGCATACAGATTTGCATTCTTATTATCTCTTACTAATAAGAGATTTTAATTGTGATTGAGCCTTCACAAGTCAACTTGTGTCACTCCCTACACCTTTCAATTTGCATTTTCCTTGTATGTAGTTGGATATCTATTTGTTGGGCACTTTTCAAAAGATTACTAAAAAGGCATTTAGAGTTCAGAGGTGATTTCTGTTAGAGGAAGTGGATTGGACTATAGTTTTAATCTTTTCTTCTGTGAATTAGCTTAGAAATAAGGAGGGTTGTTCTAGAGGCTGAGGAAAGGTAGCATAATGTGAATAAATAAGTTAAAATAAATAATGAGAATACAAGTTTGGCCTGCCACTTAAAGTCACAGATCCTTCATATTTGTGTGTATGTGTATGTGTATGTGTGTGTGTGTGTGTGTGTGTGTGTGTGTGTGTGTGTGTGTATTTCTGTAGATATTTGGATAAAGATACATGCATTACATATCTCCATGTGTTGTATACTAGTAAAACAAAGACTTGGCAAATTTGGGCTGTATTCCTGACTCTATAATTATGAACCAACCATCTAGCATAGAAATATTACTTATCCTCTCTGGCCTCCCAAATATCTCATGTGGAAAATGAGATTTAGTCCAAGTACCATCTCATTTTCTCTCTTGTCTGAAAAATCCTATTATTACAAATCTCTTTTTTAATAGCTCTGAAATAAGTGCCATAACAAATAAATTCAATAATATTCCACTTCTAAATTTATATTTTATGGTTGCTGCTTCGATATCTAATACAACCCTACAGTGTGTATAACTTCTTATTTACATGGGAAAAATCATTTGTTGGTGATTGCCAAATATTTTTATTATGTGCCCTTACAGATTAAGAAAGATAATCTACTTATGCATGTTTATCATTTACAAATTTAGAATAACGTAAGAGACAGGTATAGCTCATGTCTATAATCCCAGCTACTTAAGAAACAGAACTAACTATCAAGGCCATCCCTGGTGCAAAGTAAGCTAGAAACTCTATTAAAATAATATAGAAGTATAAGATTTTCAAGCATGGCTAAATGAATAGATAAATAAGTATAAATAAATGAGAATAAAGTAAACTAGTATTTATCATTGCAGTTCTTTGTTACTTAATGGACTACAAGGCCTTGCAACTTACTTATTTTTATTTATTTACTTTAATATATTATTTATATATTTAGTTGTACAAATGATTTGCCATTCAACAAAGCAGATTCTGAATACAATGCATGTAGATCAATGTCACCTCTTTCAACATTCTTAGCCATTCCTCCACATCTACCCCTTCCCTCATTTTTCTTTTCTTTAATATATATCTTTATTGTAAAGATACCGTACAGAGGGGTTACAGTTACATGAGCAAGGTAATGAGTCCATTTTCACCCTCTTTTATATTTCTCCCTACCACCCCTTTCCTCCCCACCTCTCTTACTGCTCCCTCCCCACTCCCCCCACCCCCTGCAAAGTTGTAAAGTTTATTTTCAACATAGTGTCTTGTACATCTCATTGTTACAATGGGTCAACCTGTATCCTTATTTCAGCGTTTTGTTATTTCCTTTCCCCTCCCCAAATTAGAAAAATGTATATACAAGATGCAGGGCACCAGAATCAAATACAGTGACAACAGGAGTTGTACCATGGGGAAGCACATACAGAAGAAACAAAAAAAATCACATAGTACATTATAAGTACATTAAGAACAGCAAGAAAGATAAAACCTCTTGTGTCCCTATCTTGGGATTCATTTTGCTTAGCATCAGGTTATATGGCCATATGTACATTCTCTCTCGTTGCTTAATTCTTCTTCTCTTAATTGGTCTAACTACCTCTCCTTTACCCCACTCCACCTCACCCCTTTCAAGTACCCATGTCCTGGTGTTTATTTTGTTTAACTTTGATTTAGCTTTTCTAAGAATCGCACTGAGTTCTTCCCTGAATCCACCTATTTCAGTTAACACATTTGTATACTCTTGCATACCACCCAAAGAAGTTACTCATATATTTATAAACTTGTTCTAGCTTCGGCATATGAGAGAAAACATGTGACCAGTGTCTCTCTGGGTCTGACTTACTTAACGTGTTTTTTAGGTCTTTGTGTTTATTTGCAAATGATGCAACACCATTCTTACTAATGAATGAGAACAGTTCTGTTGTCTATACACACACACACACACACACACACACACACACACACACACACACACACACACACACACACACACGACAAGTTCTTGATCCATTCATCTTTTGAGGATGAATCACTGTAACCCTTTGGTATTTAATAAGCTACAAGGCCTTGTAACTTCTACCATTTATTAATAGATATAAATGATGAAAAATGTATAAAAGGGCTTATAACAAAGTGTCCTCATAGTCCTGTCTAGCAGTGTTTAGAAAGGGTCCTTTTTTAAACTAACTAATGTTACCAGTTTCTGGTATATATTTTCAGAGATGTTGGTATGTCTCTGTTATTCCGTGCTCTAACATTTTTAAGGTCATTATATGTATGTCAGTATGTAAAGAACTTCATGTTTTTTTATGGTTCTATAGGATCCTATTTTATGGAAATGCTATTCTTTCAATATTTACCTGCACTTACATTGAATTATATCAGTGGATATTTAGCCACCTTCTGCTCTTTTACCATTATAAGTACAACATGATAAATACATCATGCATACATCATATCACAAACACACATATGTCTTAGCATGTTTTCCTATAAGATGTGAAATTTATAAACATGATGGATATTACCAAATTCCCCCTCATAGAATTTTTTATCAACTTACATTCTTACCAACAAGTATGAGATCTGTCCTCTAAAACAATGAATTATTGATCTTTGATCTCTGTTAATCCAATAAATGAAAAAAGGTTTTATGTTTTTTGTCTTATAATGAGTAGGATTCTTAATGTTTGCTTAAGTGTGATTCATATACTCTTCAGTGACGCTATCTTTCGCCCATTTCGCCATCCAACTGTCTGTTTCTCATTCTGCTTCTTCACATTATAGAGTTAACCTTTTATCCATCTTCTGAGTTCACATATTTTTCTCCAAATCTGATATTTGCATTTTTTTACTTTGCTTTTATGTACATATTAAGCACAGAGTTGAGTTTTCCAGTGTTTCCTTCATCTCTGGGTTTCATGTTTTAATTTGAAAGGTTGTGTAGCTTGTCTTCATATTTTGCCATTTTTTAAACACTTAAAACTTAGAACTTATTCTATAATTATTAGATCAAATTTTCTCTTCCCTTTAGAAGTGATCCAATTCTCCTAACATTATTTAACAAAGGATCCCCTGTCTTTTTGTTTGAAATGCCCCCTTTTCTAACCTGCCAAATGTATTTATATTCATTGCTCGTTCTTTTATTCTGGTTGATAATCTATGTGGTTGTTCAAGTACCTGTATCACACTATTTTTAATTAGTGAATCTATGTCCTGTGTTGATACTTGAAGACTCTTTCTTCCCTATCACCCTCCCTTTTAGATTTTTTCTTTGATAATTTTGTCTAATTTTTCCATATGAACATTTGACTTGGCTTGCTTATTCTGAAAAAGTCTTGCTGACAGTTTTATTAGACTTGTATAAAGATGTAGATTAATTTAGAGAGAACTCACATCATTATGATGCTGAGTTATCTAAGGACATGGAGTGCATTTTTTTGCTATCTTCTTTTGTATTGCAGCTTAGCAGTTTGAAATTTTAATCATAATGATTTTACACAGTTCATTTCGGAATATTATCCTTTGTGTTATTATCAAAAATAAGGGAGGTTTCATTCTATTGTAACTTCTGATTCTTGTTTAAACATCGTGTTTCTTTATTTCCACAAATCTTAACACTGAATTATCAATATGTTTTGGTGAGCTTCCGAAAAAAGGCTGCTACTTTTCTTTATGTGCCATCCTTGTTGAATGGAGACTCACTAGTGTGACTCTTTCAGAAAAAAGAAGAAAAGAAAAATCTAGAAGCATTGTTTTCTTTTTGTCTGCACCAGTTTAAGTATCCTCATAATCAACTGTTTTAAAAAATTCTTGTTACAATTCCCCTGTGAAATTGTTCAGTCCAGGCACATTATTTTGGTGGTAAGGGTACGGAGTGAAAGGGTTGTTGTTGTTGTTATCACCTTTCTCTATTTGTATTTTAGAAACCTGCTTAAATTTGGTAGATTGTGCATTCCTGGATAATTATATATATTTATATTGGTTTTCAAGTTTTTTCACTGAATTAAGAATAGCTTCAAGAGAGTTCCGGGAAGATGGC